CATAATTTTGCCAAATTATAGAGACATGTGATATGGCATAATTTGATTGGCAGAGGTAGTTCGGTATTTTTAATTGGTTGGGACATCTCAACTTGACATATGGAGAGACATGATTGGTTGCCAAATAATCAAATTTTCAAGTGTGTATAACATGTGGCAATTTTCAATTGGATCAAAAAAAGGCATAGAAATAATTTAATTTATAAACCAATGGTAATTTTTAAAATTAATGAAAATTCCATTGCCTACATTTCCATTTTCGAAAATTCAATTTCGTTTAATATATTCTGTTTCTCGATAAACAAGTATGAAAACTTCATTTTGGAAAACAAATATATTCCATTTTGGAAAGCTTCATTTCAGTCCGATGGAGGGAGTATTAGCTAAATACAAAAGGTTTTTTTAACAATTGATTTGATCAAAAGCTCTACTAAGACGAAATCGGGCAGGCTCCTTTCATTTTATCTTAGTTTCTTCTAGTGAAGTTGTCCTCAAAATCCAGCTCAATTAATAAAAATATTAATCAAATCTTGATTTGACTCTCAAAATCAAAGTCTCCCTTTCACTTAAGGTTTAGAGTTTTCTTATACAAATGTTTAGAGTCCCTCAGCAATCATTTTCCCTTCCTCAAGCAAGATTTTGAGTTTCGAATAAACCCGAAAAAAAGAAAAAGAGAGAAGTGAAGCCACATTTGAGTGGATTTAGAATTATCAAAATACAATGTGGTTGAAGTACAAATTGCACATTATCAAATATTGAAACATCATTTATGTTTGTAAACCTAAAAAGACAAAATACTTTTCGAAACTCATCAAAAACTCCTATTCAATTCGAACCTTTTTTGGGACAAGACCAAGTACCCGCAGCTACGTTCCTTCACTGACTGATTCTTCAGTCTCCAATTGACACTCGTTCCTTCACCACCATACTCTTTCCTAAGTTTCGTTTTTGTAGCAATGGCTCATCAAAAAGCTTAACGTATTTTTAACTGACATGTTCAGTTTCCATGTCCGGTAAACCAAATTTACTCTGTAATACGTTATTATTTTAGTTAATTTGTTCATCCCACTAATGTTCACAGAGTTCATCTTTTACTTCTTTTTATCTTCAAGTTTTCGAAGCTTGAACTTATTTTGGTTCCTGATTAGCTTTGTCGAGTTTTCATATTTCCTTCCTCAAAAACAAAAAGAAAAATTCCTATTTCCATTTTGGAAATCTTCATTTCAGTCTGATGGAGGGACTGTTAGCTAAAGACAAAAGACCTTTTAACAATTGATTTGATAGGAAGCTCTAATAAGACGAAATCGGGTGCGCTCCTTTCATTTTGTTTTAGTTTCTTCTAGTGACGTCTTTCTCAAAATCCAGCTTAATTAATAAAAATATTAACCAGATCTTGATTTGACTCTCAAAATCAGAGTCTCACTTTCACTTGGGGTCTGTTTGTTCGTTCGGCTGAAAATATTTTCCTTGATTTCGGTTGTTTGGTTCGCTTAGGATATAGGAAGAAGTTTCCCCACCGAAAATGTTTTACAGCAGTGGATGGGAAACAACGTACCTTGAGAAGTTACGGAAGTAAATTTTCTTTGAACACGCATCTACCTCTCTTCCTTTTAACACGTCTCAAAACTTCATGACGTCCTATCTAATTCTTCATTCTCGACATAGCAAAGGAAGAGAATCTAACCTACCTACCGGCTACCGCTGATCATCGGCTAAGAAAGCACCATAGAAAAAATCACTATAACATGATGCCGACTATCTTGTTCATTGCCTATCAACTCTCTGGTCGCCAACAATCTTTTTCTAATAATACGTATTCAGGCTATTTTCGCTTTCAATTGCAGAGATTGCAGAGTTACGAGTTCGAAGTCTGTTTCTTTTTAAATTTTTTTTTTGTATCAACTGAATTATGCACCAGAGGAGAGTCAGCCTTCAAGCAGCAAAATTCCTTTCATCTTGTTCTGATCTCATGTTTATTGACCAAATCGCTGTAATTTTTTTTGTTTTAGATCATTATAATATTGATTGCATCTATCGGGATGTCTTGAAGGAAGAGTGATAGGTTTTAGTTTTTATCGAGAGTTCTTCTTCCATGACTTGCCAAATACCAAAAAATTAGGACCAGAGCAAATAATTTTTTGGAAAACAATTTTCTTGGAAAAGATTTTTCTAAAGAAAACCTTTTACACTGTATCAAATGGACCCTTAAAATTTATAGTTTTCTTATTTCGATGTTTAGAGTCTCTCATGAATATCTTGATTTGATTTTAACAACTGAATCTCAAAATCTTGAAATTCAGAGAGTCTCTTAATTAAACTATTTTCTCTTCTCCTTTGTAAGCTCTAGAATTTTCTTTGAACCGAACTTCAGAGTCTCACTTTCACTTAAGGTTTAGAATTTTCTCATACCGATGTTTAGAGTTCCTCATCAATCATTTTCCCTTCCCTCTAGCAAGATTTTGAGTTTTGAATAAACCAAATATAAAAAAGGAAAAAGAAGTGAAGCCACATTTGAGTGGATTTAGAATTATCAAAATAACCATTTCTATCATCCAATTGTTATATGCAACTCCAAAGTAACAAGTACAAGCAAGGTTGATGGTAAAGACAAGACCTGAATATATTGCCAAGGATGGCACCTTTTATCTGGTGCATAGGCTTCACCAAACAATATGTTACTGTACAATCTAGACGAGATGTCACATATGATGCAATACAATTCCTCGTTTGTTTGTGTCCAAATCAATGAGCTTGTGGTTTAACTTTGGCCTCCAAATATAACACACAATAAAATAAAATGTAGTTGAAGTACAAATTGCACATTAACAAATAATGGAACATCATTTATTTTTGCAGACCTAAAAAGACAAAATACTTTTTGAAACTCATCAAAAACTCCTATTCAATTCGAACATTTTCTGGGACAAGACCAAGTGCCCGCAGTTACGTTCCTTCACTCTCTGATTCTTCAATCTCCAATTGATACGAGGATTCTGCTGCTGATGTTGGTCATGTCACTTTCCACTATCCTACCTTAACATTTCCAAATTCCTTTTCCATTAAAAAATTCTTTTGAAGTACAATCCCACAGGGCCATGAGAGTAATCAATTGGCAAAATCCTTCAAGAAGTGGGATAATGATTGAATTCCAACAACCAATTGTTTGCTCGTTAAGTTTCCAGAAATGGGAAAAATTGACACAGATGGAAACGGTTGATGCCACACCAACTCTAAGTTAGCCGATCGATCAAATGATGATGCTGGAATTGAGGATTTTGTGTCAGCCCTAACATCAGCCCTCTAGCAAGCTTTTTCTTTCCATTATTCAAAATTAAAAAATTTAATTAAGTGGCAATTACTTATTTAGATCAACCGTTGTATTATCTTAGTGTGCATTCTTTGGCTTGAAAAGATTAATAGGGGTCCAATCAAGTGTATTCGAAATTGAGTTCAAATTAAATGGTACTCGACCCTGACTGGATTAAGAAACTTAGGCTTGAATTTGAGTTCAAATTCATTGAATTTTTAAAATTTGAGCTCAAATTGGAGCTCGATTTTGTTTTGTCTTACTCAAACTCGAATTTGAATTCGGTCAAATCGAGCCAAATTGAGCTTAATTCGAGTTCAAACAAACTTACTTGAACCCAATCGAGTTTAAGTGATATAAATTTATCTTTTATATAATTTTAAGTAAGGGACATCGACGAACTTTTGAACTTCACATATTGAGCTCATCAAACAATTCGAGTTTCTCAAACTAGAATTTTAACTTAGTTAATGCGAGTTTAAGCTTGAGCTTTTGACCGATCAAGTATGCAAGTTACTCAACTGACCTTGACTTATTTACACCCCTAAACAAAATTGAATATACATCACAATGACAAAAGATGGGAATACCACACAAATTCTTCATTCAAGGATTCTAGAAAATGCCCGGAATCAGAGGTGAATAAGAGTCACACCTAAGGATATGAATTAAAAATAATACTCGTAGTTGTTATTTTTGAAGAATAATGACTTGCAATACGAAATTCAATTGTGCCACTAAATGTATTTTGCTAAATGAGAAATTCGCCACGCTCCTTATCTCTATTTTTCCTCTCACCTTTTATCTAAGAAATGGATGGCTCTAGTATTTGGTAAAACAATCTCTCAACACTCAATTGTTTAACAATACTTATTTTTGAGTGTGTTATTTTATATTCTTTGCCTAGTTACCTCAGTGTTAAACCTAGACAATTGCTATTGTTCAAGTATCATCTATTCATCTCAACAGACGCAAAGGTTGCCTAGTTGCCTTAGTCTTAAACCTAGACAATTGAGTCTCTTGATTCTTCATATATCAGATATATATTATGGAGATTAGCACGATTTCTCCTATCTACTTTTCACAGGTCAGGAGCAGGATAATATTCTCCTTAGAAATTTTTTGCATTATATAATTCTTCTTTTGGACCTAATTTCCGGTTTCATGTTTTCTTGAAGCTCGTTTGTCGTGTTACCAACAGAATAACAAAGCACGCGCAGCTAAGTATCAAGTAATTGGTACGTACTATATCTACCTATTCAGGAAACTCCACTGGACTAATTTGCCTGCTATTTCTTCATTAAGTAATCGTTATGGACATCCTAGCTTTTTGTCTCGTAACCTTTCACTTTCACAAATAATTGGGACCCCATAATTCTAATCGACAATCACTTATTTAATTCACACGACTGTGATATTATTATTTGGAGCTTAAACAATTAAAAAAAATTTCCCAGTAGCCAGATTATGATTATCTCCTCGTCTCACATGCAACATCTGTAAGTCTCAGAACCCTAATTTTTCCTTAGATCAATCATTCAACTAAGCTAAAAGGATCTATAAATACCACCATTTTTAAGCCTATATCCATCAAAGTGGTGGACAAAGAAAAATGGCAGCATTCTTCAACATTAGTGCAGCCCTGAATTTCTTCCTTGTTACATTTTCAATTTTCTCTTTTAATCCCTCCCGTGCAAGAGAAAGAATAAGCCCTCATGAATCCACCATTGTCCTTGGTTTAACTCGTTCAAGTACCATCCTTCCCACCCCAAAAGCCATTTCTTCTTCTTATTCATCAGTAAAGAAACTGTTAGACTTGCAGGACATGATGGAGCCCTTGAGGGAAATCGGAGATGGATACCTGATATCTCTCAATGTTGGCAACCCTTCACAAACCATCCAAGTTTACATGGATACTGGGAGTGATCTCACTTGGGTACCCTGTGGGAATCTCACTTTCAATTGCATCGATTGCGACGATAACAAGAACAGAAACATCATGGCTAGTTTCTCTCCTTTTTCTTCCTCTTCATCCATCAGAGATTCTTGTTCAAGCCTTTTTTGCATTGACATCCATAGCTCTGATAACTCCTATGACCCCTGCACTGTAGCTGGTTGCTCTCTGGTGACCCTACTAAAATCCACCTGTTATAGACCATGCCCTTCATTTGCTTATACATATGGAGAAGGGGTTGTTTCTGGGATTTTGACTAGGGATACCCTAAGAGTCCATGCAAGCAGCCCTGCAGGTGCATTTAGGGAAATTCCCAAGTTTTGTTTTGGTTGTATTGGAACCACTTATAGAGAGCCTATAGGAATCGCTGGATTTGGTAAGGGTCCACTCTCACTTCCTTCACAGTTAGGTTTCCTCCAAAAGGGTTTTTCTTATTGTTTCTTGTCTTTCAAGTTTGCTAACGACCCTAATATTTCAAGTCCATTAATAGTAGGAGATCAAGCTATTTCCTCTAAAGAACACATGCAATTCACTCCAATGTTGAAGTGTCCCGTGTACCCTAACTTCTACTACATTGGCTTGGAGGCAATATCTGTGAGCAATATTACCTCAACTGAAGTCCCTTTGAGCTTGAGAGAGTTCGATTCGCTCGGTAATGGTGGCATGTTGATTGATTCAGGAACAACATATACTCATCTTCCTAAGCCTCTCTACACAAACCTCCTCACTGTTCTCCAATCCATGACAACTTACCCTAGAGCAACAGAGACAGAAATGAGGAGTGGGTTCGATCTTTGCTATCGAATTCCATGTCCCAAAAATAATACTCTTGAAGATGATCTTCCATCAATCACTTTCCATCTCTTGAATAATGTAACTCTTGCATTACCCCAGGGCAATAGCTTTTATGCCATGGCTGCACCAGTGAACTACACTGTAGTGAAATGTCTGTTGTTTCAAAGCATGGATGATAATGTATATGGACCAGCTGGAATTTTTGGTAGCTTTCAGCAGCAAAATATGGAAGTTGTGTATGACTTGGAGAAAGAAAGAATTGGTTTTCAACCAACTGATTGTGCCTTAGCTGCTGCTTCGCAAGGTCTGCGAAAAGTATAGCCTTTTTACTGATGGTTTTACGGCTAAAAGCATGGTTGGTTTACTATCAAAAGCTTTTGGAAGTCTTGGAAAGTGCCAAAACTTCTAAATTTGAAAGCTCAGCAACTTTGTTACATTGGACTTTTCTGGCACTTGTCTGTGCTCCTGTGTGTGTATGGTGTCATGTTTGTACTCCTGTGTCTTTTTGAAATTCTAGAACCAAAGATTCTGTTCTATGAACTTTTCTTCAACTTGAAAGAATGATCAGCTGGCTACATTGTAGTTGATTGGCAATAAGAATCTACTTAATTAGCGAAAGTTTGCTTTTAGAGAAGCTGCTTTAGGACAAGGAAAACGGAATAATGTATCAGCAATTAGAAATTAAATAACCAAGTAAACAGTAAATATTACTCTAAGGATTTCATTTGGCATCAGAAGGAACATCTGCCAACAAATGAAGAGATGCAAATTAAGCTTGGTCTTGGTGGCTGATCAGACCACGTTTGCCTCATGAATCCTCTGTTGTCCTCTCATCTTTATGATTTCTTTGGAATATCCAATGGTACGACAGCCTCAACTACCAATATTGGAAGGTACAAACAACTCCAAGAACTGCATAAATAAGCAATTGATTTTGGACTGAAGTAGTCTGAACTAATCTTTTCCATAGAGATCTTACATCTGTTTTACGTGGACTATACATATGGCTTTAGTATCACATGCAGTAATGCACATCACAAATTAAGTAGCACGTGATCACTACTAAGGTCAAGTAGGAATCTTTTTTCATGGCACAAGGATTCCATTAATCTCTTCAAAAGTTACAAGAAAACTATGGTGTTTCAGTTGATAAATGACAGGATTTTTTCTTATACTATATTTTCTAGTAGATTCCAAGTTCTTCTTCTTCCTACTTCTACTATGTTCGAACAATTTATTGGTACTTCAGATTAATCAATTCATTTTTAATGCCATATCTAAATCTTATCTTTGAAATATGACACGAATCTCTTAACTCATTCTTAGGCCTCATGTTGTTGAACATTGAACAGTGATTGAAATTGCTAGGTTTCAGTCTCTATTTAACGTTCCGTTTTCACTTTTGCTTCATTCTAATCTCTCTTCAACGACGTCAACATTGGAAGGTAAAGGGAGAGCAAGTGTAATAGAGAATGATTCCAGGGCAAGTTTTCTCTTCTCTTCCAGCTCCAACCCTTAATTATCCTAATCTATCAAGCTACAAATGGAGGAAGAAAAAAACTAGAATGTGCCAAAATGAATATTGCTGATATTCATGAAGGTTACATGTCCCGCTTTCATGAATATCAACAATGTTCATTTTGCAATTGGTTAAAAACTATGCCTTTCAATTCCCAATAATCATAGAATTTCTTATATTCTTTTTTTTTTCTTTTAATCAGAAGGAGGCTATAAAGCTAACTACACAAAAATAACACGACAATAAATCATCCCCATATAATCCGCAGATAGAAGAGCTCGAATTTCATACGAGGACCGGCTAATGACTCAAGTCCCCATGGCACGATCAAGCTCATCTTCTTCACCAGAGCATCAAAACTAGGATTCCGTTCCCCTCTAAATTAAAGGATAAATTACTTATTACCCCCTGTGATTTTATCTAATGTCAGATGATCCTCCTAAAGTTTTAAAATAGTCACATAACCCTTTGTGATTTTATGAAAAGTTAAAAATGAACTAAATGTACAATCAATTACAGCGTTTGTACCAAACGCGCTTTACAAGCGCTTGTGATGAAATTTTAATATTCACGTAATCTTTTTATGATTTGTATAAATATCCACTTTATTTTTATGTGATTTTTTCATTTATCTATGTAATCTCCCTATACTTTTAAAAGTGGTTAAATCGTCGATTGATTTAGCATTTAAGTAAGAGCAATATTGATATTTCAGCTAATGACATTAAATATGATATTTTCCATCAAGTTTCCACTTTACACAAAATCATAGAGAAGTGAAGTGAATATTTTGAAATATTGGGGAGGTCATGTGACAATAGATGAAACTAAAGAGAGGTTATATGTAATTTACCCAAATTAAAATGATTCAACCTACATTCTCAACCACATACGATAGGTGCATTTGATAAAAATAAAATCTGAAATTTGAAATCTAAAGTCTGATGTCTAAAATATGAAGTTAATGAATTATTAAGTATTAAACTTAATACATTTGAGTGTGTGAGGACCCGTAAATTTTTCTTATTTTATATTATTTTATTTTATTTTCTCTCATGCATTTTTTTCACTATACCCTATTATATTGATTTTTTCATATATTTTATAAGTGAGTAGAGTTTTAAATCCTTTTTCCTAGTTTAAGTTAGTTCATATTAAGTTTGAAGCGTATTATGGATGTGGGACCCACTAGTGCGCTAAGTGTGATAAATTTTTGTTGATTAGTTGAAGTTTTGTATAGAGGGATATTACTGTACAATGTGCTAGGAGATAATTGGAGGTTAGTTAGAGAGATTATCCATTGGTAGACTAAAGGATGAGATTGAAACCTTAAGGTGCCAAGTGTCACCATCCCATTGAAAGTTAGACTTTGACCAAGATATTTTACTTTCCTAAAACTCTAATTTTGACCAAATTCCCTTCATTTTTTTGTCTTCCTTGGCCGGCCATTTGAGAGAAAGAAACCAAGAGAGAAACTTCATTTGTTCTTCAATTTCTTGCCCAATCTTGATTCCAACCATCACTTTTGCAAAAACTCTCCATAAAAGTTGTTTATTAGGAAGGATTAAAAGATTGAATGGAGTGATTTTGGAGGGACAAGCTCTAAGTTACCATCTTTATTGAGGATACAAGGTACTTTGGACAAGAAACTTCATTTTCCTTCATGTATGTGTAAATTAGTGGATTATAGATGTTACATAGATAACTTTGTAAGAATATTTTATGGTTTGAAGTAGTTTTATGGTAAATTTCAGTTTCATGGTGAAAATTCTGATCACATGTGATGTTTGAAGGTTGTTTATGTTTTGATAGCTTTGTTATATGAATTATTGAGGTTTGTGGGCTAGAATACTTTGCCTAAAGAAATTTCCCAGCTTATGTGCACAAATTCCAGTTTAGGGTTTCCATTTGGTAGTAATCTGCTCTATTTTTGCACTGTATGTTTGTCCTTGAGAGAGACCAAATCAGCCCTTGCTCAAAACATAAAAGTTGTAAGTATTTGAGTTAGCTATCTACTGGTAAATTTCAAATCAATCTGAGCACTGTAACTTGTGAAATAACTGAAATACCCTTGACTGCTCACAGGCCTAATTTCACGGACAGTTTTCTGTTCTCTCTGAGATTTCGATTTTTGACCATGAAAATGTATGATTTGGTTTTGGAGGTCTTCATAAGAAATGCAGGTATATGTCTTGACTTCGAAACAGCATAAAATTCGTCTCAATCCGATAAGTGTAGCTTCAGTTGTGGTTATCATGCCGAAAGGTGCGTGGAACTTGATGATTATAGAATTTCCTTTGCTTGACATGATATTCGTAACCTAAGACTTGGACTTGAGCAATGGAACTATCTTTGATGTATGTGGAGCTCAATTGTGATTGGTTTTGGAGCTATTAATTGGCTCAAATTGAAGGGTATTGTGGCCCTAATTAGGCATATTTTATAGCCTATGATTTGTATGTGGAATTGTGGTTGATTTGAGATGAGTTAGTGTTGATTGTAGGATGGAAAAGTAACGAAATTTAGGGAAATGCTGCTCAATTTTCTAGGTCATTTGGTTCCTTTAAGTTTGAGTTGCATTTTGGTATAAATGGAGGGTTTTGGGGTTGTTCGTATCCCTTGGACTAACTGTTATCCTTTTGCTCAAAAGTTACATTTTTATCCTTTTATACTAGTAATTAATTTGGAAAGGCGTACGACTTGTAGTCGAGTCTTATTTATGCATTCTGTTTACTGGGTTTGTGGATGTGGGAACCATAATTGTTTTATCTTGATTATTTTAGGGTTTCTTGACGATTAAAGCCATACTTCGGGTGAAAACTTTTGAAATATCTATGCTTGAACTGGTGAGTGTACCACCCCCCTCATTTATTGCTTAACTTGGTTACCTGCAATTGCAATCTGTGAATGGAATAACTATACTATATGCTTACTCTGAATGAGATGAGAGTGTACTTTATCACACTCATTCTCTTGTCTGTCTGTATGCCTACTTACCGTGAAAAAAAAATCTGAATCTGTTATCTGTGCCTGTTCTGACGTCGTTTGGAGGCTTGTATCCAACGACCATTCTGTGACTTCTGAGCTCAAATCCTGTGACTAGTTACTCGAGTCGAGTCGGCAGGGTCTGGTCGATTAGATAATGATTTACGGTAGTCTGTTTCTGGGAAATCTTTAGGTATTGAAAACTCTGAATTTTCGGTATACTCGAGTATTACCGCTTCTATTTCTGTTGAAGTGTTCGGGTCCGATAAGGGGTATGTTTGGTGGACGAAAATTTGGCGTAAAGTGGGATCGACGGACATGTTTGTTCTATATACGTTGACGGAGAGTCAACGGGTTTGGATCAAGTACTGCAATGGGAATTTTGGCTCCTGAGAACCACCTGTATCCTTTCCAGTTGAGATGTTTGTTCATTTCCTTATATGTTGTGTATATGTGCCTTAAAAGTGAGATGCCATGATTCGTGACTACTTGTATTTTTGGTACTTCATTGAGCGTAAGCTCACCCCCTTCCCGTTACCTTTTGTTTTCCTTTCAGGGGACAACACTTTTGAACCATGATTTTGAAAAAAGGAGTAGAGCGAGCTCTAGCTATTCTTTTGTATAACTTTTCTGTATAAGAATACCGTACTTGTATTTTGATCAAGTATTACACTTTGACTTGTAAAGTTCTAACATATGTATAAAAGTGTTTGTTCATGTTTCCTTCGTGTATTTGTTGGTGAATGGACGTTCTATGGGTTTATATGAACTTTACTTGTATTTGGTGGGGATTCGAGCGAGAGTGGGATTTGATCGA